ACCTCGTCCCCAAGCGTCCTAGGTTTGGACCAATAGTATCACATGATGTGTCACATGATAAGCTAGGGGTGAAAAATGACAATTCCCCTCAAAAATTCATGCAAGGCAGGAGCCTATCACCCTGTGCAAAGGAAACTATCTCAAAAAAAAGTCACGCAAGACTGTAGCCTGAAGAGTGTGGTTTTAATCACACTGGGTTTCAATATCAACATGAGTTTTTATGATGAATAAATTATTTCTAGCGCGCTGATTGGCGAATTTTTATCATCTATAAGAGGACAGCCAAAAATTTAAAATTTATGCAATACGGTTATTTGCCAAACTTCAATGTTTTTTTAGTTTAGTCTCGTAAATGCTATTAAGAAAAGTAGCTACAGTGTATATAGCTATTATGCAAAATGCTCGAGCAGAGGAAACGGAGCAAAAACCCTGGGTCTCCAAAAGGGGAGGCGATTTCCTAGAATTTACACTTTCAAATCTATGATCTCCTCTAACTCAGATATTGTCAGATAAACCTTTTCATACATAGTTTTAAAGTTAAATTGAATTGAATTGAAAACTACTTGCAAATAAAACACATCTCCAGTTTGACAGTACACAGCTCATATAGCTGAATGGCGTTCACGACGACAAAGAACTGATGAAGTAAAAAACAGACACACGATTTCTCCTCTCATATTCTGTTCCGTTAACGACCAACCACTCTTGCCTGACTAGCCCGCCCTCACTGACAGCTTAACCGCACATTACTTCGACTTGTTCATTTCCTTTAATGGCTAAATTTTTCCTTGAAAGAATTTTTGATCGTGGGTTCCGTGCATCCACAAAAAAATGAGGAGGAGGAGGAGGAGCAGCAGCAGCAGCAGCAGGAAGGATGGGCTAGTAAAACATTGTCTTCCGTTCTAAAAAGAGCTAGTTTGCCTTCGTCTTCAAGAGATATGTACGATTTGCGCGCCAAGAGTAATTGAACCAGGACTAGGAACGGGACTAGAACAATCACAGCGGCAGTAAATAGAACTAGCATAATTACGTTACGGCTCAGTGATTGTAAGTCATAGGCGAGTTTGACTTTATTCATTAGACACCATGAATTAACCAATGAGAACGTTTCTTATTTTCTAATTAACCAATGGAAACGAATATAGCATATTTATCGACCTTAAAGTAACTAGAAGACCTAACCAACTAAAAATAACAGATGACTTATCTTAATGAGATTCCTGCGCATTTCATTCATGAGATAAAGCCAAAAGTTATGACGTCATCGGCGTTAATTTATGGCACTCAAAAAATTGATTAAATCCACAAAAAAGGCCTAAAACATCCCTCTTATACTGCTATTGTTTTTGTCCAAACCCTCGCTGTTTTATTCGGCTGTTCTGGCCATACTCCAGCTCTGGCAGCCTGCGCTGTCCCGTTCTTTTTTTTTTGACAGTGCTCCTTTAAGTTTAATCTTCGGCCCTCCGTTTGCTCGCGCATCCTTAAACTTAGTGATGTGCAGTCATTTCTTAACGCTGGAATTAATAAGCACATCTTTTATCTTTGTAAATTTACGCGGGCGCGTGAGCAAGCTCAGCAAGGCGGAGTAAATATATCAATGAAACGGCAAAAATCGATAACAATCGATAATCGAAAATTATCGATAACAGTCGATAATCTAAAATAGTATTTATTTTAAACATATTACTGAAGACTGGCGTTGCAATCTAGTAAACGAATATACGAGAAAGGTGTTTAAGGTTAAGCATTTTACTATCGATTTCATCAACTAGTCAAGGCGGAGTGTTCATCCTACTTGGTTTTCTGGCGTTTTATTCTTATGTTTCTTTCTTAATGCAATTAATTGAAATCATAAAAACATTGATTTTGTTGTTTATTCTGCTTCATCTATATGGCGTTGCTATAACGAGACTAACCAAGGGTTGCACACCGCTACTTTGGCCGCAACATCTTCTTCTTCGGCTGTATTATGAACTGCGCTGAAGCTGAAGATCGATAAAAAGACCAAACGGTCCTGTTATTGTCTTGGTTCCCATAGTATTTTGATGATAATTGTAAACCTATTGCATGCTATGATGATTGGATGACTCAATAAAACCATTATATACAGACAACATTGTGTCGATGATTAACTTGTAAAACGACAACAATCTTTTCCGATAACAATCGATAATAATCGATAACATTCGATAAATCAATCGTTATCGATTTCTATCGATTGGTATCGGAAATCGATATCAATCTCCCATTGTTATCGATTGATATCGATTATCGGTTTATCGATTGCCTACGCCTGGTTCAACTGAGCGGGATGTCCGTTGAGGTCATAGTTTTAGCCATCCACTCAGACGCTCTTGGGGGTTCGTCACGTGTATTTTCCCCGCTATTAAACGTTTGGACGAGAGATTGCGTGACGAACCAAATGTTTATGTCTGACCGCAATCGGTTTTTTTAGAGAGCCCTGAAAAAGCACTAGATGTTCGAAAAAAGGCAAGGGCTGATTTTAACGTAGGCTACGTCTGATACCTGGTTCGTGGTGGTTTCTAGCCTGTGTTTTATATACCCAGAGGGGGGTAAATAGGGACATGCAAATCCACCGATCCGTTATGATTTATCGAACCAAATCCGCCCTTCCATTTTTGACCTGAGTCCGAAATCCGGTCAAAAATATTTTAATTACACCCAAAGGCCACAATCCGGGCCCAAAAAATAGATGCAAAAATATTTTCAAAATCCGCCGATCCGTTTGCCTGTTAACCCCCCGCTACCCAGTATGCAGTCCGCTACTTTGACCTTAATTCAATCACTGAATGAATGCAAATCTGATGGAATGTCACACGTACACATGCGAATCAAGTATAATATTCTTTGAAGACTCTTGTTTGCACTGAAAGTGTGCTTGAAAACTCTTGGTAAATTGCTTTTGCCTCAGAAAGCTGACACAATAAAACAAAGGTTAAGGGATAATATCGTACAAATCACTGTATTTGGTCGACACAAGCCTCGAGATGGTGCTTTTGTTTATAGGAATGAGAGAAGACCTGTGTTCTGTTTCAATTTGGCTTCGTAAGTTGAACCCATTCGCTCCAGGGAATTTTGCTCCGAAAACGCATTTAAAAGCTAGACGAACCATTTTACAGTCGCTGCCTTACTGTTAAGAGCCAAAAATGACCAAAACGCCGTTTATAGGTCGAGCACTTCACGACCTTCTAGTACCTTGTGTTCCAGATGCCAAATATCAGCCTCTGAAGTTTGAACATGCGCAGAAAGCAAAATTTCGTAACTATAACCTTTCGCTTTCTCTCTTCCATCTGTTTCGCTTTTCTCGCCCCTTGGTTTTTCTTTCGCTGGACATTTATTATGCTTCATTTCGGTGGGAAAAGTTTTTGGGAAAGCTTTTAGGATCGTAGGCCGGATTAAATGCAAGGAATTAAGTGCAGGTGGGTAGTGGAACAAGATTTTCTTCGGAATTCTTCGGGTCGTCTGCCTTCTTGACTGAATCGTGCATGACTATCATTACACGGTTTGAAAGATCTCTTCCAACTGTCCAAGTTCGATGACGTGTTCTCAAACTTTGCAAATGATAGCATCATAAGCGGTAGAAGGGACGTGGATTTGCCGATATGCATAGGCGCTTACGGGCGGTTGTGGGCGAAATTGGTTAGGGGCTCCTCCATTTTTGTCGAAGTTAGTTCACAACGTTTTTCTTTTCCTTACACCGTACAATTTAAAGCTTGAAACTTACAAAGTCGTGCCCCAAATTTCATAATGTTAAAAAATTTGGAAGCCATAAATTAAATAAAATTACGAAGTTGACCACTAGTACCCAAAATGTAATAATAAAATATTCAATTGATAAATTTTCAACTGGTCCCTTTGCCCCTTTCACGCTTTTGGTCGCGATCGCTTTTTTATCCTTCCGAGTTACTGAGCAAACAATCTTTTTACAGAACATGAAATGGGAGATCTATGAAGAGGCTAAACGAGTAGTAAATGTCTTTCTATACCAATATCTGTTTTTGTTTGTCAATTACGATGATATTTTTATCTATAGATATATATGCAACATTGTTTCATAGTCAGAAATATAATAAAACAGGGTATCCAACTGTTGGAAATCGAGTTTTACGCCTTTAAGCCGTTACAAATTGAAACGTTTTAACCTAATGATAATATTACGTCAGTTGAAAGACAACCATCAGATTCGATTTACAATAGCAAGCTTTCTAACTTCTCTAAACGAAAAAAAAAACAGATACAATCTATACATGTAAAAAAGAGAGACATAATTTCAGTATATTCACCTAAGCTATAACTACAATGATGAGAACCAATGTAGTGTAGGTAATATTCATATTATCAATTAAATCCAGTAATTTCCTGGCTCCAGGAACCCGTTCTCAAAATTTCTAGGATAAAATATGCCACCCGTACAAGGTTCGAAAAAGCCACTGAGACTTCCAGCCTCGTTTTTCGCGTTTTCAAATGATTTAGTGGAAAGAGAAAACAATCATTCTGGTACGGAGAGTAATCCAGTAATTTTTACACAGCCTTAAGAAGAAAGGCCTTAGAAGTTTCAACATCTATTCCAGCAAAGATGATAACCTTGTTTCTATGACAACTATTCCACTTTCTACTAATAGCCTGTGCAGCAGGCAGATTTATGGAGGAGACCCAATCGAGGGAACAGAAGCGAGCGGTCGCTCGTTCGCGCGCTCACGAAGTACGCCTACGCCGCTCATTTACGTGCTCGCCAAACAAAACCGCCAACTGCACAGGCTAGTTTCAGACCGAAGAAAGCAAGGACGTTTCCCTTTAATTTCTTAATTGAATAGTTCAGTTCTATATAAACACGGTTATAGAAAATATCGGGTAATGCTATTCCACATGTATGCCTTTAGGCAAAACGGCTTATTGACCAAAAAAGGCACTAGAGCTAAAAGTACTAACTACTACGCTGATCATACGAACATGGCCGGGCATGACTTGTGTTTTCCAGTTCATGATCTATCTTTAGAATCTTCTGCTTCTGGTAAGGATCTCCTTCCTTCAGTAATGGATCTCTTAGGAGAGTAGTTCAAACCCTCCGGGAGGGCTCTAAAGACAAACAGAAGATACAAGACAAAACGCTAGTCAAACTAAAAATAGCGATCTATGAGTACCCTTTCCAGGTTTTCGTGTAAATTACGCTAGAATTTTGATTCACTATATGACATTCACCTTAAAACAACAAGGAGAAGTATTAAAAAAATTCGTCCACCAATCTTTGAACAAACCGTTACAGATAGGGTTTCAGCGATTTATCTCACAGAACTCTGTTAAAGTTGACTTCGGTCCAACGTTTCCAAGTTTAAGTTCGCTTTTTTCAGTGTCCGTTCCCATCCAAGTATGGTATCCACCGCGGTCAAAGGTCCAAGGCGCTTTTCTTTTTCATTGGGATTTTGTTTAACACTAGGTTAAAACAAGCGCATCCAAGAATGTCTAAAAAAATGAGTTGATTTAAGGTCTCGGTAAAGGAAAACGAGGTGCCGCAGAAAAAATACTAGTTGCGCGAGTATTTTCGCTACAAAGGCAAGTTATATATCAAATTAAAGCTAAAAGACTAAATTACCTTATAAAAGATTTTATTTCATCGAATTTCAAAAGGCGCTTAAGTTTTTTGCTCTCGAACTCAGAGGTATGGAGTTTACTGCTGAAACTCCAGCCCTTTCGCGTTGTTAAATATTCACTTCCTTTTTATTGCATCTGATTGACAGATAAAAGACCTAAAAAAGGGTGTGAGGAATTTTCCGATTTACCTTTGTAACTCATTTTATGTCAATTTCTTTGCGTAAATCGCGCTCGAGATTCGACTTTTTAGTTTGAAATGCAATAATTCCGCTAATACGAGACATATGCAAATTTCCTCACACCCTTTTTTAGGTCTTTTATCTGTCAATCAGATGCAATAAAAAGGAAGTGAATATTTAACAACGCGAAAGGGCTAGAGCTTCAGCAGTAAACTCGATACCTCTGAGTTCGAGAGCAAAAAACTTACGCGCCTTTTGAAATTCGATGAAATAAAATCTTTTATAAGGTAATTTAGTCTTTTAGGTTTAATTTGATATATAACTTGCCTTTGTAGCGAAAATACTCGCGCGACTAGAATTTTTTTCTGTGGGCACCTCGTTTTCCTTTACCGAGACCTTAACCATCCTTGCAATTTTCTCAACACAATGAGCTTGTTTTCGTTGAAAACGCTTCTTGCCGAAGTAAAATTGTGACGTGTTGACCAACAGAAAAGCCAGATCAGTTTTCACACACTTTGATCGTTTCGAGGAAACCCTCAAAAAGTTTAGTAAATTAGCAGCGAATTACAATTTACAACCTCAGTTTTAAAGTACTTTTCTAAGCTTTTGTAAATTTGTCACTTTTGATCGCGGTTATGGTAACTTTTAGCAAGACCCTGCCACTCTTAGGGGCCTATATTTGATACGAAGACACCCCTTTATCTGGTTCGCCAACGTCTAGTCTCTAATGACAGCAGACGCTGCCTTCAGTCGCGCCCCGCGACAGTGAAACGAGGGCAAAGGCAAGAAATAATTCATGACAAAATGTTAATGTACCGGGGAAGAATAACCGAAACCAATTGCAAGCGTCATTTTGTTTGGCTAAAGGGCTCACTCAGTGCATTTAAGCGTAATTTAACTGAGCGGTTAACGCCCCTAGTACAGTAAAACTGAAGTAAAAGAGATCAAACCATTGGTCAACGAGAATGGCAGTGACTTCCTTTTAAAAAAATACATGCATCAACATTTGGCAAAACATAACCGATGGTAAGAAAAACGTTAAGTCCAAATACACAAGAATGATCTATTAGAAAGAAAAAGGAGAGGAAAGGAAATACCGAGGATGTCTTGACAATGATCCATGAGCTAAATAGCTGGTCGATACTAACTCTGATCATCAATTAGCCTGTTCTTAAAATGTAGTATTGACGGTATTAAGGCTAAGGGAGAAATTCAATTTGGAGTAATATTGCCGGTCCCAGGGGTAAATCCTGAATCTTGCGCGGCATCTGTCGCATGATTCGTCTTTAAGTGTCAATTCGGCAAAAAGCAGAGATACTCTTTGCAATCATAGGCAACTCAAGTTGGTTACATAAGCGCCACGCGTTTAATCGTTTATTACAGCTCATACTGACAAAAAGGGTATCAGAATACTGCTGACTACTACCTTTGTATTTAGTTCCAGGTGATATTTACCTTTGGCTTGGCATCTGATCATTCACAGTCGCTTGGTTGCCTATCACACAGGTGTGCGGGCTTGTCACTTGGTTAATTGTCTGGTGGAAGTGATACTCTGAAACAAGATTCATAAAATATTTCACATAAATTCCACTATCTTCTAGAAATCATTAATTTCGAAACTGATAAAACTCTTTGTGATACCCCACGCAACTGAAACTTTTTATTACGAAGCAAACACCTTTTTTCATTCGTCTGACGGGAATACATCCTCACGTTGTAAGAAACTACTATAACTTTTTACCAGCTGATGAGAAAAAAGTACTTGTAGGAAGACTAAAGGTGGAGGAGGGCATGCCGTCAGGATCTCTCTGAAATGATCTATACATTTCTCCCTAAAGTTTAAGACGGAATCCATTGGGAAATTGAGTAACGATAATTATTAGTGGACGAAAACCTTGTACCAGAATAATTTCACGCATATTGCATTCTTTTTTATACTATTCTAGGGCTATAAATGTAATAAGTTAAATGAAACTGATAACTCCAAAGAAAAGCGTCTCATGGGAGCTCGAGAAAATAAACTTCCAAAGCATGATCAAATTTCTTAGGAATGGGACACTTTTTCTGGGTCCTAAATGCGGGTTTAACCTCCATTCAGGGGACACATTATAGCATTTAAAAAGTGACTGACCACACAAATCGTTGATAAGTCAGTTAAGTGTTCATTAGTCACAATGGTGAGAGCTTTCAAAACATGAATTATCTCACTCAAATCGATGTACTGCACCTTTGGGAACTCAACACACAACATCGTTAATCACGATTTTTAATTAACAATTAATGAATGAGGCTGAGTATCTTATGAAGAATTATGGAAATCGAGGAGGGTGTTATCCGTCGAGGCCGTAGGCCGAGGCGGATAACACCCTCCGAGATCTCCAAAATTCTTCATATGACACGAAAGCGGAATTCAATAATTGTTTTATTATTCATTCAAAATAATTCCTAGTTTAAAAACCTAGCTAAAACATGCTTACCTCTATCGATGTTAGGTTCATCTTCGATAGTGCACGTTTAGGGTTGTTCAGCTCCGCAAATATTCTCCGAATAGCAGATGCCGTCCTTCGAGTTGTCTTCTTGCTGTTCTTGCCATGTATTTAGCTAATATTTCGCCTAGTTCTTACTCTTGAAACGAGTGAAATGTCCCCCATTTTTGTTTTTCACAACCAAAACAACTCAACCTCGTCCACGGGTCTTCTCGGTTAACGGTGCATTAACCTGCAAGAAGACTGCACTTTTGACGTCATCGGTTCAATAAACGCAAAATTCTTCCAAATTTGGTCATCAGTAGCTGGTTATAGTGAATTATGCGTGTGCTTTTAGCCAATCAGAATCGGGGAAATATTTTGAATGAATAATAAATATCATTATATAGCCGCTTGAAATAACTACTGCAGTAGATTCCGAGGCAGAATAAAGGAAAAATATTTTATTTGTTGCTTCATTATTAACAAACCCAACCCATAACTCTAAAACGAACGTCTTTTAGTACTAAGTTCAGGGAACATTGGACACCTCTATTCAGAGGACACTTGTCTTGGTCCCGAGGGTGTCCCCTGAAAAAGGTTCAACTGTACTCTGAACTTAGTACTATAGACGTTCACCGTTTGTTTTACAGTTATGAGGAAATCTACAGAACTAAAGTAGAGCAATTTTTCGTTACCGATTTTCCCGGACTGCGCACTGCCGTGTTTCTGTAACTGATCAAAAGAAGTCAAGGGAAATTTCCAACAACCAGAAGTCAGTGAGAGCGCTTCTAAATCTCCAGTCATGAGTGAGTTGTCCAAACCTGAGTGAAAGAAATTTTTTCATCACAAGTTAGATGAGAATTCGTGTAATATTAAGTGCCACTTGCCAAACGTGTACTTGGTATTATTGGTTATAACATTATTCAGTTATGTAGTAGTGGATAACTGAATTATCTTAAGGCTGCACTGATATTGAGAATTAACTGTAGGCCCCAAGCCAGTAAGACAGAGAGACACTGATTACATTGTATAATAGTATCGAAAATTTGTTTAAAAATTGACCGTTGGACGCAGCAAAGCAAAGAATTTATTGAACTTAGGGTGGGATAAACAGACAGACACAAACAATAAACAATGAATCAAACTTACCATCAAAACTTGTTACTTTTGGTAAACAGGCCCCGCCAGCTGAGCAATCGGCAAAGGTCACAAAGTCGTTACTGTCCAGAGCAACAGCTTCCGAACCCCATTTGTACTTTAGACGGAGTCTTAGGACCTTTTCTTTCGTGAAGTCAATACATCGCATTAAAAGGTAGCACTGAGAGACCTCAGACTGCCTCAAGTCCACCATGTCTTCGCTCAGTTCTTGTTTGAAGATCTGTATCAATTCTGATAGCTTCTCCTTTTGTGAAGCATAAAGAACTATTTGAAGATTTCCCGAATGCTTGTTTTCAGCTTCCATTTTCACTACCGCAATGTCAGCTGGAGCGAAGCGACTCATGCATCTGTTAAATGCATCCATGCCGGATCGATTCAACATAATGACTGACTGGAATGCCCCTTTCTTGCAAATTGATCCATCAATGTGCACACATGCAGCCGCACCCAGTTGAAGCTCGTCCTCCGATACTTTCTTGATGCTGAACGTTTGAGAATATGTGTCGTCATACTCGTTGTGCACCAGGTTCTCAACATCAGACGAGGTACTGGACAATGTGGAGCTTTTTGAGTCAACCAGCTGAAATCTCACCAGTTTTGAAGGATGAAACTTGGAAAAGTCAACGAGACTTAATAAAACGTTGGCAAAATCTTGCCTGAAATCTTCATCTACTTCCTTGTCGTCGGTCAACAACGTGTCTCGTAGGCTGCAAGAAAAAAGTTCTAATCGTTTGTGTAACCTTATGTCGTGCAGGCAATGCTTGAAGAACTGCTCTAGAAAGTTGAGCATTTGCTCAATGGCAAGACTTTTGCTCCACTTTGTAATCTCTGCAACGGGCTTCTTGCTGTGATTCTTCATGCACAACTTCTCCAGAATTTGGCACTCCACATACACAAGATCCCGGAATCTGTTGCTTTGTCGAGCATTCAAAACGCTTGTCAAAAATTGATCTACGTTTTCCTCATGAAGTCCAGTCAAGCCACTATGAGGCACAAGCTTCTTATGGTCAACAAAGATTTCCTTGATGGTTTGAATGAGATGAGGAACAATGGCAAGAAAAATGCTGGTCCTCGATTCATCTGACGGTGAACACACCAGTTTATATTTTGTAGAAATATATTCCAGCATTGGTTGACGATTCTCGATGAATTGTTTGACGAAAGAATCTGCATCATTAGAAGATGAAAAGGCTTCATCCTGGTTCAACTCCAGGCAACAGTCTCTCAACACAGAATTGCAAAGAATTGTAGCTTTACGTGAAATATTCCTCACTAAATCTGTGTTATCGCGTTGTAAGCCGGTTATCTTCGTGGCAAGTTTTCTCAAGCGCCTGATGTGCATCTTGCCTCTTGGTGATACTCTGTATTCTGGTGGGTATGAAAGAAATATATCACAGAAAAAAATCAGAATTCCATTTCCTCAAGGTCTACTAAGTACTGGGCGCCTTTTTGAAATTTATATCCAAAAAGGAAACAGGAACGTCTTTTAAGTAACCAGCTCCTTTAAGTAACCCTTTTGTCAAGTTCATTTTGTTCATAATTAATGCCAGTTACGCAACCATATTCGCTATAGAAACTTGAGAAATAAATTGTCAATGACAAAATCACAGCTACTGTCAAACAAATATGTCTCCGAGCATTACATTATTACAAATAACAAAAATAAACTTTGAAAAACTATCAGGCTAACAAGTTTTCAAACCCACAATTTCCATCCGTTTCAATTTTTTTTACGTTTCTCCATCCGTTCCTTCTTTTGTATTTGCCGTGTTATTTATACCTTCGTTTCATGTCTTGAGCACTTATTTTTACGTTTCACTCAGTTTCGTGGCGGTTTCAACTGCCTGAATTTTGATAAATTTCGCGACACTGATCCTATCAAACTAAGTAACAAACTTTAGTATATACTAAAACAGTGGATAGTGTTTTTCGCGCGTTCTGATTGGCTACTCAATCAGTGAATATCCTGCACTATTCACTGATTCACCTCCAGTTCCTCCGCGAGAGCGACGCCAAACTCGCGTAAGTTGCGAGCAAAATGCCTTCCCGGTTTGCTGCCATAACAAACTAAGAACTTTCACAACTAATCAATCAAGCTATTCCCAAAATACATGAAGAAGGTCACGAAGTTCGGTTTGGAAGTTTTAACAGGTAAAGCTTTGTCTTTTGGACTTGAATTTATCGATAAAACCGGAGAAAAAGTTTTTTGTTTACAAATGCAAATTAAGCTTAAGTCTTTGCGTTATTTAGTTGACTTCTTTATAAATAAGCTTAAGACTAAATTTAATAATTTTTTTTACAGAATGATTTTAAATACAAAAAGAATTCACAACTCCTTTTGAAGAAACTTCCCCGCAAGAGCTAAACAAACGCCTTCAAAAGTTTTGTTTGTCGCCAAGAAAAAGCGACGACCGCGGCCGTTCGGTCATCGCGCGCCAAAATTGTAAACGTTGGCTACAGTAAATGACTTAAAAATCATCATTTTTGTGCTCAATTATCTCACTGTTTTAGTATATACTAAAACAATTATTCACCTCGGTGTCGGTGGCTAGTAGTGGATATTTACCTCGCCACTTGGCGGCCTAGCTAAATTTCCACTACTAGCCACCTCCACTTCGGTGAATAATTGTTCTTTAAATCTCTTTAGAAAAACAGCCATCGCGTGGTGAGTCCGTTTGAAACACCACTGACCTTCTTGATTTATGTCCTCCAGACACTTTCTGAGAGAAGAAAGATTTTCTACTCCACCAGTCTTCTCCGACCAGTGTTGCAAAGTAAGGTTCAACTGCCCGCCGTCGTCCTCCCAAGATTTGGTGACTTGATTCAGTACCTCTTCAGGCATCTCAAGCTGCCTAGCAATGGTTACGACGTTAAAGATGTTCCCCTCCATGCCCAGTAACTTCCTTACATAATTACACAGATCTGTGAAAAAATAACAAACCACTTGTTAAGCGCGAGTGAGGTCATTACGGGGACATCTCAGACCGAGGCCTTGTTATATTGACCAAGCAATAGCGAGGTCAATACGCACATCAAGGCCAAGTGATGACCCTGTAATGGCCGAACGGACGAGGTTAATAAGTCATTTATTAAATGGCTTTTTTAGTGCTATTAGTATAATACACCAGAAGTAATTGAGCCTGCGATCAACTACCTTCAAACCGGAAAACCGTGAACACCAGAAATATTTCTGGAATGTTATTGTTCTGCACGAAAAAAGCCGATCAGACGTGAGAAAACTAAACTCGCGTGTCCTGATCTTTGCTGTGATTGGTCGTAACACAATAAAAATTCCTGAAATATTTCAAGTGTTCGCGGTTTTCCTGGTCGCACTGTAAAACCAATAACTGGTCAATAACTTTAATAAACACGTCATCTCAATGAGTTGTACACTTGAGCCTGCGATACAGTCATGCTTCGTTCCCGAGGATCGCATATGTTTTAAAGGTGAACTATCGAAACCAAGTTGAGGAGTACCTTTAAGCTCCGCCGCCATCTATTGTATTATACTGTTATACTACAGCGACTAACAAATTTACCTCCTTCACTAAAATGCTTCTTGATCGCATGCCCATTTTCTCCATTCACGCTGATTGTCCCACAGAGATATCTCACTTCGTTTCTCCATTCCAGAGGAAGTTTGATTACCTTCCCTCCATTCCACCAAACAAAGGAATCTACATTGAAACTTAAACTTCTGTGCTGACTATCAGCGAATTTGTAGTCTTTCCCGAGTTGAATACTAACTTGAAGGTTTTCATGATTGTAAATTCGCTTTTCATCCAGTCTGTCAGTGGCATGTTCATGTACCTCCATAAACCCATCTTTCGTAAGCTGTACCAAAGCTGAAGCCTCGTCCTCTCTGTAGAATTGTTCGTGGTAAACGTCTTGGCTCACGAAAAGTAGAGCAAGCATGTCGTGTGCAGAAGAGGGACTCGTCTTGTTCAACAGCACCAGTAGCGTGTAATCAAACGACAGCAAATCAAATCTGGACAGAATGTCTTTACCACGGATCAAGGTCCAACGTAACAGAACCATAATGAGTGAGAAATGTTTCAGTTCAACCTCAACTTCTCCGGCTGCCTCATTAATCTTTGAACTCTTAGTGATGTTTTGCCAGGTGACCTTTCCATCTCTAGCTTCAGTGCCATGCAAAATGAAAACATCATCTCCATGCCATCTCCAATTCACGTTTTTAAAACTAGTTGTCAGCTTTATAGGTTTCCTAAAAGAATGGCCATTGGGTTGTAGATTAACGATGGGGGCAGCAATAATAACGTCATTTTCCAGATCCTTTTGAACTATCAAACTGTAGTACTTAGAAGGATCCTCTAATGTTATGGTTACAGACAAGGAATCGTCAAGAGCTCCAGGGGGGCACACTAGCCTGATATTTCCTCCAGCCATTACACCACCTTCACTGGTAAAAATGCCCTCAATGCTTTCTTCCTTGGAGACGCCTTACCGAGAAGGTTAAAAAAAGACATAAATCAGTTTAACGACATATTATGTCTGCTAATAAACTCATTAAGTAAAATAGGGGCAAATCAGGAGTGAAAAGTATGCTGATTACGTCACACAACCCGCGTCCACAGTTCAGTCTACTTTGTTGTCGTATAAAGATTTGTCAGACGGATTTGTTAATAGATATCCGAAAATTCTTTCCCAACTAGGTGCTCTGCTAGATGTCATGATTTTCAAAAATAGTGCGACTTTTTTTAATTAAAAAAAAAACATGTTTCGACGGTACATCCGTCATCGTGTGACGGTTATGAAAGTTTGCAGCTGATAAAACGTGCCTGTTACAATGTACAGTATATAACAATTCAGCTTAAAAGGCACGTATAAATGTAAATTAAACATCACATTCGAAAACTGATGCAATGGTACCTAAATTTTTTATCAGTTTTGCTATTGAGAGCAATTCAAGTGGTTATGTTACTGAAAGTGTTACTTTCTGGGGAAACAGAGCCGATGACGTTCTAGCCTTTTGTCTTTATCTTATCAATTTTTCTTTTGCTGTGCAAAAGTATTACTGGTTTGACAGGTCTTTAATGTTTTAATTGATGATATAACCTACACTCTGGGTACCAGAAGCTTTTTCTCGCGTGCGGCGGAGTAGCTCGGTGTCTATAGTTAAAGACTAAACAGCTGGACCCTTTTTTGTGAATTGGAACTACTCTGGCTACTTTAAATTGATCTGGCACCATACCAGTAGAGAATGAGCAATTAAAAAGCAGCTGAAGAGGGACTGATAAAACACTTTTTCAAGTCTTAAGAAGGGAGGTTGAAATACTAACTTAAATGTATTATCAACAGAGAAAAAATGTAGTATGTAGAGGCAATGGATAACATTTTGTATACTAACCTGGAGATTCACCTACAAAGGAAAAAAAAAAGTACTTACTTAAGAATAGCCATTAGGAAGATTCCACAAAAGGTGAATTAGCAAGTGTCAAGACTTAGTGGCCGAACGGTTACTTCGAACTTGCGTTAGTAAGGGACGCGTGTAAAGAAACCAGAAAGGGGTTTTGCGTTTACCTCAGAACAGGCACACAAAAAAATGCACTTTGTTTGAGTGTCAATGTATTTAGTACGAAAGTAGTAATTACGGGCATTATGTTTTGACGTCGCCTACTGGAGACGGGACCGCCATTTTAAGTGGCCATCAGAGCCACGCAAAGGTCTTGCCGTTTGCAGTGCAAAGGCAGTAACTTAATTTCCCGGTTATTTTAAGACACTTAGTATTGGTCCAGCTTGGGGAATCGAACCCGCGAGCTCCCGCTCTGCAGTTAAGCGCTCTACCGGCCGACTGAACTAATCCTGCCGCGGATCACAGCATCGAATTTGTTAATTGAGTGTGGTAGTTAAGGCCAAAACCGGCAATTCCAAAGAAAGTAGAAAAACTGGTCATCGAGGGTGAATACTGCCTTAACTGCCTGTAGGTAAAACCTCTATGAGGCTCCATACTTCTCACAATCCTATTTGTAATTTTGGTGTTACCAGAAACTCATAAGGGGTTGAAACGTGTAACTCTCATATGTTTGCTTTGTCCGATGCTCGTGATTATTCATTTTTGAAAGTACCATATTTGGAACAAGAAAAAAAGATAACTGACCAATCAAACTTCTTAAACAACGTGACGTTATTTTACTTCACGTTCCCGCGCCCGCTTAAAAAATGGCCGACAAACTGGGGAAAAACTCCCGAAAGCCGAGAAAGCTTTCAAAGGTTGAAACCAGGAATCTTACCGAAATACTGAGCAGGATATTATTGGCTTCCCACCCTGGCTAAACGACTAAAATTCGAATTCGAATAAAATTCATTAGCTGCGTATCGAAAAGTGTCCAAAACCTGAACCTGACATCTTCACAAAAAGATGCGTGTAATGAATGTGAGAAGCATTAAGCTAAAATTCAGCTTGGATGTTGTAGTCACAATCGTGTTTTGAGCTAATTTTATGAATGAGCAAATTCAAAACAATAGGCAGAGAAGCCGTTTCTTGAAAATTTTTATTCAAATTCCAAAAAGTTAATCCAAAAAACAATTCACAAAACAATATCTGGATAGTGGATCCGTTCACGCAAGTGAAATCGGCTGAACACATGGCAAAATTCAACACAAAATCCATCGCAAATCGGGATACATTTTGTAATTTTTCTTTATCGCCGAAAAGAAAAATTTTTAAAACGTCTATGAAACATTTAAAAATATATAAATTCCCTTTCAAAAACGTAATTGTCTTGGCCATAGAGTGCTAAATGTACCTGAAAATTCAGCAAAAACTTCGCTGCCTTGGTTGTATTTCAAAACAGACCATGCGCTCCGCGCTGAAGAAAACAAGGTTAAATTCCTCGAAGGACGATTTCTTGATGAAAAGTTTCCCTTTCTCCACAAAAAGAAAGCTGAGCAATCTTTTGAACTTTCTCTTTCCATTTTTTGTCTTTTAACGGTGTATTTTTAACCTTGAAATGCACAACTCTTGTCTTAAACATCTGCATGGTGATCGCGCGGCATTCATTTTGTTGAAAATGGATATCCCTCACTGAGGTTTCCAAATATGGTAAAAGTGAATATTCACGAGCATTGAACGCGAGTTACACGTTTCAACCCCTTATGAGTTTCTGGTGTTACTCACCGAATCTACACTAGAACGAAATGGGAATCTCGAGCCAAGCTGCTTCCTCTTCCGCATGAAATCACTGACAATCTGGCGAGAAAAAAAAAAAGTCCGGCACTTGATCACACCCAAGACTCAACTTGCTCTTTATACGTGGCTGTAAAACTAAGAGTTCTATTTCATCACCATTGCCACAGGGATCCCATGATATTTCTTTCTTACTCATTTGAAATTGAGACGATAAATACGTTCATACACTTCCGTAGTTCCCTCGAAAACCATACCCGTTTTCAGACCAAAACAGCGCAAAAACCCGACCCGATGGAACGGCAATACCTGTATAGCATATATAGGGGAGTACCCCCCTCCGGGTTTGGAAGGCTGACGTTTTGAAAAGGAGGACAACCTGCAACTCAGCTTTCAAATTTCGTGGTGCTTTTTTAAGGATGTGGTACTTTCAAATCTTGTTCCTTAATTTTCAGCACCCTCTTTTTTTGAGGGACCCCTTTATGTCTCTCTTGAAATTAAGAACTGTTGGTTACACTTCCCCTCATGGTGCAGGTTGTTCGAATCCTTAAAATACTGGATGGATGAACAATATCTGTATCTCACTTCATGTGGTTTCTGTGTTCCCTTTCTTATTTTGAGGCAAGAGTTTTCTTGTTTGTGCAAAACAATGTGGAAGAAAAAATATCTTTCTTGATTTTTCTTGTGCTTGACGCTCTGCGCACCGAGCTCTTTACAAAACATTCCCATATTGTTGACAGTTTATAAAGCAAGGAAGTTGATTCAACGAAGTATATGTTTCGGCATTTGCATGAAATGGAGCAAACCTAAAAGGGGAGCTGTCATTAAAATTCATAAGGAGGAGATATTATTTAAAGCACATTATAAAAAAGAGAGGGTCCTGCAAATAATAATGTATAAAGATTATTCCTACATGCACTTTTAACATACCCTCCCGTTGTATTATAGACATTTGTAAACGAGGCTTGCAAAGAGCAACCACTCCTTAACAAGTGCTGTAATCAGAATTTATGTGCTCATGGTGGCACCTGCACTGAGTTATGTGACGACGCTAAAATCAAGTTCAACTGTACATGCGGCAGACTTTGTCAGAAACGAAGAGCAACATCTTGCAAAGAGCAACTACGGGAAAACGAAGGGAGCAAGTCCGGAGTGTATCAACTGTTTGACCCAACGACTATGTCCATGTACGAGGTCTTTTGTGATGCTATCTCTGAAAAGGGATTCATTTGGACTTTGATTGAATCTTTCAGCTTTCGAAGTAATAATGAATTTTCGGATAAAGCATTTTACAAAGAGTATCCGGTAAACCAGAAAGCCTTTACATGGAGCAAGTTTCGTTTGTCTTGGTCACGCATGATAACCACAGCAAACCGCTCAACGCACGTGCGAGCAACGTGCAACTTTAACACTGAAGAACTTAAATACAGAGATTACTTAAGGGCCAAGTTAAATGATATCGACGTTATGCGTTTGAATGTCCGTGGTGCATGTAAAAAATACGAATTTATTAGCATCCGAGGATATAACTGTAGTAACTGCACGGCTCAGTTCGTCCAAACAGATAATTGGCATGCGTTATGATTCGTTTTACGGTCCAAAGATCGGGTGTCAGTTTACCAGTCAATCCACAGGTGCTGTGAGGTTACCGGGAGGGGAGGATAACTTCAGATGGTATCAACCAGTCAATCCGGTTCACAGATGTGTATCAAGTGATGATTCCACCACTCAGTGGTGGTTTGGAGTTCGGCATCACTAGGCTCTCTAGCCTGAAGGTGGATTTCCACTTACGCGTTTTTCGCTACGCACGTTAACGAAAGTTAACGTTGCCTCTATTTCATATACGCGCGTTCGCACGGAAAAATTGCGCGACAGTGGAAATCAACCCTATTAAAATCAGTCATTCTTTGAAAACAATTTATAATGTTTTATTAATCTAATTATCATTATCTTAAATGTGAACTTGAACGCATATGGATGTTTTATTGTCAGAACGGTAAGAGAGTAACAGTTCCCAAATGCCCCTGCATTCAACCTACCTGACTTGTGCACTGTACATGATTCCATGCTGGCATTTTCTGAGCTCGTGCCTTGCAGTACAGCGCCAGAAGCCTTGGAATTCAACATAAATTCTCGCTTATTGATCCTTATTAGACGAGTTTCGTTGCTGCCACTCGTGTATTTACCACTTTGGGCTTATTTCAATCTGCATATTTAATTGTAAATCTCTGATGAAATGGCTTAAAAATAAATTGGCGTCTTTCGGCAGACTCGTTAAATATCTCTAACGACAGGTGTATCATTATATAGGTTAATTTTCTGCCGTTTTGGGTTTTGGCACGTACATTTTCGTTTAGCGTGGATTAAAATCAACGTGATTGACGTTTCGTTAGAGAGAAACAGAAATTATAACGCGTATCGTAAATCTACGTCAAAGCGCGTTTCAATTATGGGTGGATGCGCTTAAGTTGTTACACTCTTAATTTCATCATCCTCATTCTGGAAAAAATTTTGTAAATAGCTAATCCTATCTGATGCATTATTATGACTTTGTCATCATTTTTTTTACACATAACTGACATTTCCTCCTTTTTTGTTTTGCTTATTTGTCTTGTAGCCGAAAAGCCCTTTTAGGGAGTTACAATAAAGTATGTAGTTATGTAGGTATGTAGGTATGCTTATCGCTTCCTGCATTCGGTAAGCAGCAAAGCATTTTGTTAAATGATAAAAAAATTCTGTGTGCGCCTGCTTTTTCTTTCATGGTGTTAGAAATATCCCAGATTTTGGGCCCGTGGACCATTCAGTTGAAAGCTAGTGAATGGTAAAAATACATGTATGTATACTATATAAAGGGAGCAGAGGCAAACCAACGTAAGCTAAACAACATACATTTTTAAAAGAGGGTTTTATATAATTTGTGTTTTAACTATTAATAACGCGACGTTGACCTCAGTTAAAACAAGAGTCTACAGAACGGAACTTCCTGTAAGAGTGCAGCTGCTTTGTAGACACTAGCTATAACGTACGGGTGTACGGGTGCACGGGTGCGGGTAAATTACCCGTACGCGTAGCCATAAATACGGGTAGATGGCCTCTTACCCGGGAGAAACGGGTAGGCTACTGGGAAGAACGGTGATGTCATTATCACAACTGGGAAATCATGATTAGTATATACACACTCAGTGATCTTGGTGATTTAAGCAATCTGATTGGTTCGCTATCTCGGACTATTCAACAATATTCACCTCCTAGCGAGTGGATAATGTGTGAGCTCGGTGTTTTTCCCGTTTTTTTTAGAGAACGATCCTTTAAAAGTCGACAAAATCCTAGGGCTGACTTTTTTTAAGGCAAGAAAAGACTTGGAGGGATTCAATACGGCGTTTTTCAATTTACTGTAGCAGGAGTTTTGTGCTCGATGGATTGTTTACAACTCCCGTGTATTCGCGTAGAAGAAGCCGTTTCGTGAACTCAGCGTTTTCTAAGAAGAAAATTTTGGCTCAAAAATCGAAGTTTATTTATGACAAACAAATTTAAAAGGAAATGTTTGCAGAAATTCTACATTTCAAGTAAACAGGAAAAAGAATGATACAGGAAGACGACCTCTTACCTCGAGCAACCGAGCCGCCATTTTTGTCAGCACTTCATGCAAAGAACGACACAACATGCCCTTTTGGCTATAAACTTGGCGAGTCAACAGAAAACAACACAGCTCTACTTTTTTTCTCAGGTAAGGAAACAGTTCAAACTTTTAGCGATTCCATTGAAGCCATTACGCTGTTGTTTGCGAAATGAGTAAACTTGTGAATTGCCATGTTTGAAAATTCTGCAAAGATCTATTTTTAAACTTACGCGTGATTTGATCTGTCAATCAAATCCTACTTTTGAATGGTTTCCTTTCTGATTTTGTTGAGATCACTTCGTGTGTATATACTAAAACAATTATTCTTCTCAATCTCGGTGAATAGTGGCTTTGGGAATATTTACCTCGCCGCTTTCGCGGCTCGGTAAATATTTTGCCACTATTCACCTCGATTTCAAAGAATAATTGTTAATTATCGCCTTTTGTAAATCTACGCGGCGAACAGTCGCCACGTTCGTCTACACATACCCGTGTGCAGGAACGGTGAATCTTAAGTAGTCCCTATTACATACCTTCCAACCTTTCCTAGATTTCTGCGACAAATGCGCATGATTTCCGAAAAGATAAAGACCACAACGCGCCCGAGAAATGGCCACACACAAGCGGTCCATTGATGCCAGGTATCCAATAACACCTTCTTTGTTGCTTCGAACCAGCGAAACAAGGATTATATCATTTTCTTGGCCCTGTGATTGAAAAAGAAATATTCATACGCAGACATCTCATAAAGAGAAGAGAAGTGTGACGTCACGTTACCATGGTAGCAAAATTTCTGGATCGCCACAACAGCGAGCTTAGGCAACGATGCAGGCGACGTCAAAAAGAACTGGAAAAAAACCAATAGGTTTATATCAGCAAAACAACAACCGTGCACGTGCATCACGCTTTTTTGTAGGTTTCTCAGCCGTCGTTGCACGACTAAGTTCACGCACCCGCTTTACGAAGTAGGAGAGCACAACGCAAAAATTTTCTTTTTCTTTTTCTAAATTCGGTCCTTTCGGATTTAAACCCAGAAAATTTCGCCATCATTTGACAAATTAAATGAAATTGAATAACATCGTCGAAGTCTGAAACAGTGCGAGTTCACTTTTTAAGTGATGTTTTCGGTTTTTTGTCATCCAGAAATTTTGCTACCATGGCAACGTGACGCAACGACTTCTCCTGTCTGTTTCCTTTATTGGTCGAAGAAAAGGGATAAAGCTAAGTGGCATACCTTAAATGATCTGGTAGACGCCTTCTCTCAAATAAACTTCTCTTTAACAATTATTCCTCGAGCCCGAATGGGCCGAAGGCTAGCCTGCGTGGCGGGCGTTTGAAAGGGAAGGGAAAGGAAGTTTTAGGCGCGAGAGAACGCCAGGGGCGGGCGAGGAGGGAGGAAAAGAAACGCCTGCCAGGAGACTATTGTATTTCTCGTTTTTAACATCCACCAGGCGAATGTTGAAATCCTGATTGGTCAGTCTTCAAAACATGTCAATCACAGCCTTAATACCTTCATCCGATTGGTTGAAATCAACATCAGGCTATTGAGTAACTTAAGCGATCGTTCAACGGCTTGTTTTACTCACTAGAAGAAAGAAAGGAAATATCATTCTGCCAGCTGTCTGCCTGTCATCTGCTGTTTGACCTAATACGCCTACCAAGCAGCCTACGCTTTATCAACGACCAGATTGATGAAGACGATTTTTGGTCTTGCTGGTTATAGACGTTATTAAGCCGCCAGGAACTTACTTTAAGAATTGATTGCAGCTTTCTTGTAGATCTTCGAAGTTCAGCTTTTCTTTCCCTGCTACCAGCGTTCTTTTGTATGCTCTGCTGGATCCAATTCGAGAGCTAGCAAAGTGTTTTAAGTATTTCTTAGACAAACATTGCATGCAAGTTGCGATGTCCAGCACGTTTCCTTCAGCAAACGACGTAAAAGATTTATGCTGGATTTTATATAACAAGTCACTCATCGTTGCAACTTTCTTCTTTCAACGGACGACCGCATTTGAACTTTTTTTTTGTAGTACGTACCTTCACTTCAGATTTCTTGTTTTAGGAAAACAAAAGCTAAAAATAAGCGTTTCGCGGCCAGACTTATTTGACAGCTGGTCATTCACAGTTGTGTTATTTTTGCACACATAATTAGTAGGCGGGATGGCGAAAACAATGGTCTCCTGGCAGGCGTTTCCTTCCCTTTCTCCTCGCGCGCTCCGGCCCTCGCGTTTCACTCGCGCCTAAAACTCCCTTTCCCTTCCTTTTCAAACGCCTGCCACGCGGGCTAGCCGAAGGCCGAATGGGCTATTGACAGAGAGGCTATGAGGGCGAGAGCAATAATTTTTTTAGTAAAATCCAACTAGTTGGTCAAAAATATCGAGTCAAAACAACTTCAGCTGACGCAATTAGCTAGACTTTAATCCCCCCCCCCCGCCTCCCCACAAAAGCTGGCGCTTTTCGCTACTAGTGGACTATAACATATAGCCTAAAAGTAGCTCAACCAATCAGAACGCAGCATTGAAAATAGACCACTAGTTGGATTTTACTAATATCTAATAAACGCCCCCGCTACTAGCAATGTTAACTTTGTATCAGACGCACCTCTCTAATTAACGCCCCCATGCACACTCCTCTCCCCCATGAGAGTTACTGCAAACTACTAGTAATTACCGGTAGCAAAAAAGGAACAAAATCATTCAATTTGTTCGGTTTCGTGCCTGATGAACAATGGTTCTTTCACTGTATCGTGCCCATAGGGATAGACTAACGTTGAAAACAAAGTGATCCTAAGCGGAGATTCGGATCTGTCGACGATGTTGAGATTTGAAAGAGCGATATGGATCTATAGACGGCCTAGATGTATCCATTGATGGCCTAGCTATTCCGCTATGTTTTAAACTTTCTTGATATTTTCGAGAATAGCATATACGTTTTGCTGAGCTGGTGGCAGTAAGGAGAATAAAAGCCTTCTATCAATTAAACGTTTTCTTTTGGACCATCAGAATTAAATAACGCCCCGGGCGTCTATTAGATCATTTACAGTAGATGAATTGTTTGCAGGAGACTGTCGAGCGAATCGACGTTCGTCGTCGCTCTTGTGTTACAGGACGCTACACAGAAGCCGTGGGCTAAAGATGACCCACATCACGATGTGAACCAAGAAGAGAAAGTGTGGTTAACTTTGGTATTTTTCTAGTTTATAGTTTTTGTAGTTGTTCTAGTACTTAAGGAGACATTGCTCTTCAAATCCCTCCAAAGATCGACCGCAATGTACTTCCAATTATTCCTTTTGAATTTTACGCATTGATTTCTAGTTTTCTTTTCTTTTCCACGAGCGGGAAAATCTAAACCGCAGTCAATGTTGATTTGATCCCATGAAATACCTGAATTAGATTATTTTAAGTGGTCTTGAGACACTGCCATAAAAAGCTAGGTGGGTTAAAAGCCCAAAAAAGAACTATTTTCGATCCATAAATTTATCGCCGTTCCCAGGAGCCCATCAACATCATCATCATCGTTCCTTGACAGTTCAAACTGATTCATAATTTGTCAAGAAAATACAAAAGATACCAATCTTTCTTCTTCGTGAGTGTCTTAAATCTAGAAACGGCTGAGTTTTCAGCTCTGATTTTCTCTGAAAAAACACCACGATTCATACACACGGACAGAGCGTTTCGGAGCAATTTTGGAGCATTCCGGCGGCTGGAGAAACGTTCGCGTTATCCCACCTGAAAACTATCAATCGTTGTGACCTTTACATCTTCCAACGCAGTAATCTCAGTTGAACGAAAGTGGCTTTCTATTTCTTTCACCTGCGAGAAAGGAACGATATAAAGAGAAAAATTACCGAGGCTTCTAGGAAACACGGGTCAAATAAAAGAACAATCTTTGATCCGTCGGTCGAGACGGCTTTGAGAGACGTGTTTGTTATTGGCATAGATTACATTTCCCGTGCGTCTGTTCGTCTTATACAATGTGATGAATATTACTAACCTGAGATCAGGCCCAATTTGAGCGGTTCTCATACATTCTCTCTAACGGCTACCGCTGAAATTGGGCCTGATACAAACTATTGCAAGTTTGTGGTCTTTACGGCCAGATTTTGGCCGTAAAGCTGATTGGCTGTTAGAACAATGCCACAAGATCTGATTGGCTGTCGGAAACGCCGGAAGTTGAAAGCGCTTATTCCTCGCGTGGTTGTTTTCGTGAATGATCTGTCGTCGGTGGAGAGAAGGATCGATTTTGCTGTCTTTTTTATTGCTTTATGGTCTTATGGTAGGAAAATATGCCTTAATATGTGCCATGGAAATTCAGAAAATTCATGTGGCTGTTCATATCTTCTCAGGATTTGCTTTATTTACGGAAAGTGAGTGTATCGCGGAGTTGAATCCCTCTGCAAGTTGATGACCGCTAATAAGGTGCATTTTGATTTTCCAACAAACGGGTGCAAATCAAAATACTGTCCATCTTAAAACTGGTTTCATTTGAAAGTTTAGCCGGGAATGAGTTCTCTGAACGGGGTACGCAAGCGGAGGCTCACTGCGAAAGAAACCTCAATCGCCAACTGTTAAGTATTAGACGAAAAATATCGCATAGCTGTTCAAGGAATTTTCAGTGTTCACAGACTGGTTGTTTGACTACGCTTTTTGGTAAAAGCAAACCAAGAAAACTGGTGTCCTCGCTCGTTGGCTGTTTGCTTTTGTTTTTAAAGATTTATGTACTGAAAATCGGGGGAAATTGCCGAGGAAAATATCAAGACAACGGAAAAATAGAGATTTCAGTATTTTAAATTCCAGAGCGCCTAGCCAAAATAATAAAACTAGTAGAACATCGTGTCGCCGTCTTTTCGAAAACTTTTTACCTTCTACGCCAACAGAAGTAACCTTCGAGATCTCCCTTAATCTCGCAAGAAGTTAAATGTGATTGTGTTGACTGTTTTATTTTTAGCTGAAAAAATTAACAGATAAAAGCTATTTTTTAAGTCAGCCAGTCTGCATTTTCCCCACGCGTGAAAAATTTGCATACTAGAAAAACAAGCAACGGAAGTAATTCTGATTGGCTGATTCGGCAAATGTCAATCAATCAAAAAAGTGGGCGGCAGACATTTCGTTAAAGGTTTGTATCAGGCTCTCTTTTCGTTTCGCCTTGCCCGCCGGAATGTAATTTTCAAAGCGAAACGAAAATAGAGCCTGACCTCAGGTTAAATATTACGCGCGCGCTTTGATTGGTAGTTGCCCATGGCCTATTAGAGTACATACAGACACATGGATGAGATCAAAAGGAAACTTGTTTTCTTTACTTTACCATGTTTTGACGTCATCTGTGATCTGCTACTGAACAGAAGCACGGCAAAATGGAACCTTTTTGTTACGTAGGTCATAGAAAACGTTCAAACATTTTACACTTGCCTGTCCTCGATATGAACAAAGAACAGTGATCTTTGAGGGATGTACCTCGCCCTCTTGGCAGAAGAATTTGGCAACTCTAGTTATCTCTTCAGCCTCTCGAGAATTTCGCTTGCTATGCGAAGCTTCACTTTCCCACTTGGTGTGTGTCCAGAAGTACATGCTAGACTCGACACAAGCTGGGCGTACGTTGTTTTCGACCAGCTGAATGAAGTAAAGAAATAAAGAAAAATTGGCAAGAGCCAATAAACAATATTAATTACATCGTATTATTGACGAAAAGGCTTATGTTATCGTAGCAATACACAGTGCGGGCGCATTACATGTTTAGAACGTAGTAAATGGTACCCTGGCTCTAGAGGTCCGTTCTCAAAATACCTAAAATGAAATTAACCCTGCTTACGGTTTGAAAAGGCTCCTCTCGGCGCTTCACGCCTCGTTGACGCGGTTTCTCCTCGAACCATCAGTGTCAATAAGAAAAAAAATATCCTCTGGAACCCAGGGTAAGTAAATGGCTACAACCTCGCACAAATCTGTTAAACACAGTCCCATCTATTTTCTTACTTTGGCGCCATACTGCCATCACCTCTGAACAGAAAAAAAAACAAGACCCCTTCCAACTCTCTACTCAAAATTGTTTTGGTCATAAAACCAACGTCTATAATTCTTGTGTTATCCTTGATAACATTAAAGAAAGGGGAGGGGGGAGGGGGAAGACAAGTTAACAATTAGTTCATGCGTCAGCGTGCGTATGTCGAGATATTGATCACGCGGGAAGCTTGGAGAGCACGAAAGAGGCGTAAGGGTTGCTCGAGGCGCAGCCGAGAGCAACTCTAGCCTTTTGAGTGCTGTCCAAACTTCCCAACTGCTCAATATCTCGACATACGCACGCTGACGCATTAATCTAATTGTTTTATAACATTATCAAAGCGATCAATGCAGTGGTTAATTCAAATTTTTATTATTGTAGGGCGCGCTAAAAGCAGTACGCGTCAATGTTTACGTGACTATATTTTTTTCCTCACAGTTAAGCTTATGTTTTTATCCTGAAACTGAGAGAAAGTGTACTCTAAAAAGATTGTAAAATCCATATTGAGGTGCTGGAAAACTATAAATTCACATAAAAATTATTTTTGAGAGAAACAACTTTGCAAAGAATGATCTTCACACGCACAGCTTGCGGAGATGACAACAACAACAACAACAACAACAACAATAACCTCCTTCCCTACTATCGGCTAATAAATTCAAAAGTCTTCTCTTAAATTACCTTATAAAGCACATGGTAAACGCCTCATCGTTTACTGCTGAGATATGGATGCAATTGGGAGACGTCTTGGGAGGATTGCTACGCTCACAACAACTCGAGGAATAGTTTATTGACGTCATCAGCGTGCTCAAAGGGAATATGTAACACGTTCGCGCTATTGAATTTGATTAGGCGAATTTTCTAGCTATGTTATAACATACGTTTGGCGACGGTTTCCCTTTTTGGCCAGGATAACAGGAAAAATAGGTATTTTTGCGACGTGTCTTAACAGGTTATATACAATGTTGTAGCCCGCCATGAGTGTTAGGCTCGATTACCAGCCGCCCACTCAGGTGTCACGTTTGAGTTCGAGGAGGAGAACGGGCTAATATTTGTGACCAAAGACACTTCATGAGTGTCTTTGTAGCTAACTAGCAAAGAATCTGATCCGTTCTCAGGGTTTCTTAAGTTTAATTCGCCTCCTACGCACCACCGCCGAGACATGCTGGAAATTTCCTCCCTGTTTTTTTTTTTTTTATGCAGCCACAGCTCTCTCAAAGATAAAAAAAAAAATTCCAGTGTTTTCATCGTCTCTCCAAAGAAGGAACGAGGAATGGGGCTAAATTTATTTTAGGCAAGGATAAATTCAAGCCAATGCGGCCAGCGGATTTTCTCTCTCGAGCACGTGCTCTGCGGGGTGCCCCTTTAGGTAGCAGGGCTTTTTACATATTGCCTTACTTTTGCTTTCGTTGCGGATCATTGTGAAACTATTCTGCGTCATTTTCTGCGAATCTTTCCGGATAGGGCCCACAAAATGGCCGCAAGTCGGGAAAAGTGGCGCCTAGCATGCATGTTTGCATATACGGACAAAGGATACCTGCAGTTAGCAATACCTGTTTATGCGTTTGAAGGTTGTCATATATCTTTAATTCACGGAGTAGATCAACAAATTCATCCCTCACTCGGCACTGGAAACCAAGCTGCTTACAAGGCAGACGACAATTCCACAGTCGTTCAAACATAGACAGATCCAAATGGTGATGTTTTTTGAGTCGGTGATAGTGTACCATAGGTTTCAGTTGCTTGTGATCTCCGATCATGATCAGGTGTTGAGCTGACGGCGGGATAACTGCGACCAGCTGCCCCTCTAGAATTTCCGCCGCTTCTTCCACAATCACGACAGAAGGCTTTATGTCAGCTAAAGAGAAATCACGGGGGAAGAACAAGTTATGGCGGCTCTGAAACACTTGCAATAATTTTTGGTTTAAACTTTAAACTAAATTGTGTCGTAATGAAAATAAATGAAAATTTGATGAAGAAACACGAATGTCACCAAAACTGTTTTTTAGTCAAAAAACGACCACAAGTTGTTCACAAATGAAGAGGTATTTGTTTCATACGATCAGTGAAATGTAACCGGCTTAACCGGATTAGAAAAACTTAATATGTAAAACAAAAATAGTAGAAAATTCTTTTGCCAACTTTTATGAAAGGCTTTAGCGCACAGCAAGGAAAACAATGCGAATAGGGGATGCAAGCTAACAAGATCAGTCTTCCCACTTTTTGTCACTTAGTGTTCTTGTTGAAACAAATAGACGCGCTAGTTCTCCCAACATAACTTGCCTCTAGCTTGGTTGCGAAAGGCTTCAAAATGAGACTGTAATAGAACACGCAATATTAGATGTTTCTTTGCTGACCATAAATTACTAAGGTTTGAACAATGTACTATGAGATATGCTTTACCCAATAAGTTTGCCCTCATGGTCGCCCCTGTCACTGTCATGCCAATGACATGGCATCTCTTCATCACTTCAATATCTTGCTGATTTCGAACCTCCTTCAACTGATGATGTAGCTGTGAATGACATCAACAAAAGGTAACTAATTTCAGTGGTTATCTAACTACTTCCTTCCATTGACACTCTCACAATTTCATTCAAATTCAGTCAACTTTAAGGGCATGTCCACATCACAACGTTGTTTTTGTGCTGACCTTAACATCGCCGTCGTAATTTCTTGAGGACCCTGGTGTAGTGGCTAGGTCAAACCGAATTATTAACAATTATTCCTCGAGTCCGAATGGGCTCCGAGTCAATAGCCCATGAGGCCGAAGGCCGAATGGGCTATTGACTTAGAGGCCATGAAGGCGAGAGGAATAATTGTTTTAGTAAAATCCAACTAGTTGGTCAAAAATATCGAGAATAAAAAAATTTTAGCTAGTTAACGCTAGACTTCAATCCTTTTTTGCCGCCAAAAAACCGGCGCTTTTCGCTACTAGTGGGCTATAACATATAGCCTAGTAGTAGCTCAACCAATCAGAACGCAGCATTGATAATAGACCACTAGTTGGATTTTACTAATAATGTATATATACGTTCGCACATTAGTCTGGACGGAGTCTAAGACCCCCTACCTGTAAATAAGCTCTGCTCACATTCTTGAACTCAGAACTGGCTTTAGAAAAGTACTTGCTTTGAAGAACGTAAACAAATTGTACTCTTCTGTGTTCTTCAAGTTCCCAAATTTTGCTTTCATTCAAAATATCTTCATAGGGCCTCAGCTCTGAGAAAAAAGAAATGTCTAAGAATCAGAAAGAAAATCGTTTTATATGCGAATCTCATGTGTACTTCGTGTTGTTCAATAAACAAGCAGTTCGTGTTCCTATCGGTATTTGACGTCACAGTGAACCCGCCTTTAAGGCTAGATAGGTTCATAATCGGGGCTTACAGCCGAGGGAGCTTAATATGCGGGATTTCACGCTTTTCTTTGTGATATCACTCAGCTCCCACCTACGCCAGTGCAAAGAGGTTCTCTCTACATTATGAATATCTTTAGCGAAAAAGGGCTATGGAGCGTTTTCACATGACGTCACGTCCGCCATATTGGTGTTCCAAAACAATGAAACGGCGGCCATATTGGTGTTCCAAACCAATCCCGTGGGAGGTGAGCCTTTTTCTTATGCAAAAAATTTCTTATCTTCCAGAAAAATTTGAATAGCTGCTCGACACGTAAATGAAACCGCTCTATTTGCTGGCATTTCATTAGACTACGAATAGCCAAAGAAACCAGCACTCAAACATAAAATGAGAATACTTTACCAGCGTCATCTAAACAAACGAGGCTGCGCAAGCACTGCACAGAAAGAGGGGCTTGAGATTCAGACGAACTTTCTTCCTCTTTCGCGATGCTTTGATCCTCTTCATCAGCGATTTCTTCATCTAATGCAAGAAGTCGCTCCCTCTGCTCTACAGAAGGGTCTCTCGCGTCATTGGGATTCTCCTGCTGGTCTTGATCTTCTTTTCTCTTTTGTTGGTCACTTTCCGCCGGTCTAAAATTGACGAAAAAAGATTGAGTTTCCCAGAAACCTAAATTGATCCTGGGAAACTGCCCACCTACCCCTCCCATAAGCCAACAGTAACACTTACTCCTCGTTTAGGGCAAAATATTGGCTTAGGGGAGGGGTAGGTGGGCAGTTTCCCAGAAACCTTAAGTGATCCAGGGATCAAATTAGGTTTCTAGGAAACTACCCACCTACCCCTCCCCTAAGCCAACATTAACACTTACTCCTCGTTTAGGGCAACATGTTGGCTTAGGGGAGGGGTAGGTGGACAGTTTCCCAGAAACCTTAAGTGATCCAAAAAGAACACCTTTGCAAAGCTGCAAATCGTTTTTGTGTCTTTACCCATGCACAAAATGCTCTTGTTAAGTTATAAAGACGATATTAGAAAAAAACTTCATCAGGGAGCACTAACTATAATTAACATAGTTTTGGTGGTTTTAGCAGGCATATCATGACTCGAAGAAAACTCAAGATTCGAAAATAAAACGGACCCGATAGTTTCAAGTTTCAATTCATGTCCGTCATGGCAAAAGACGACAGGAAACTATTTCAATGCCTAAATGCAGTCCTACATAACAAACCTGGACCACTATTTTTGGAATTCAGTTAACGCGAAGACACGTGTTGCTTTTTTAAAAAAGATGGCAAGAAGCGTGACAGCCCCTTTAAGTCCTACTGAAGACCCGTTGACACAAGCGATTTTAAAGGCAATTTTATTAAGATTTTCCGTTCTTTCAGATAGTATAAAAGCGATGAAAACACCTGCCGCTTTCGCATTCACTTTTATATTCCCCCACAGAAAATCACAGGCAGACCAAAAGACTACACATATCAATACTCCACACCAATGGTTAAAAACTTACCGATTTCCTTGCGCTGCTTTTTTCTTTTCACCAGAAAAACGATCGAACAACTTTTGACCAGGGAGCCAGTCTATCAATGCATTTTCCACGAGTTCTGCCGTATAAAAAAAAATGTATATCAGTGTGCCACATGACTTTCTAGGGAACAAGATTTTAGGATCATTGCTGAGAATGCGTGGACATCATTAACTATAAATTATCAGCGAAGCGACAAATATGAATGCGAGTAGACGTCGAAAAGCTCAAACTAAGAAAAGAAAGGGCTCAAATTGGTCAAGCAGCGCCGATAAAACTTCTTTCTTGATTTCCAAAAGCCAAATCCTAAATACCTACGCGCGGCTTTTTTTTTAACGATGACAATCACTCCCCATTATCATAAACGACCTTTTTCGAAATCAAAAAAAGTTAAGAGAGAATACATTAACGGTAATCACCTTCCAACACGAATTAATGATATACTGTGCAAGCAACCGACTAAATCGGTGCGCCACATACTACTACCAGTAAATTGTTCGGCGAGGGGGCTTAGGCTGCTCAGAGCTACAAGATTAATTAATAATAGTTTTGAAAGCATTTTAGACAGGCTGAGATTGCTCTAAATGTTTACTTAGTGGGAAAGTGGCACCAACATTGGTTGTGAAACACCTTAAAACGTTGCTTGATCCAAGCAGTAATTTTATCTGGAAAGATCCTAAGTTAAAAGATGTCACCATACATGTCAAAGTTTCATTACAGCCTGATACCTTCTATATCATGCTTTTTACGGCATTCAATTTATGCCCGCCTTTCACAAATCATCATTCAAACTGCAGTACATCGCACACCTTATGGGCTTTCTTGAACTAAAATTGGCGAATGACTGTTCTATAAAAGTAAGAACGATATCCCAACCTTAAATGAAGTCTTCCTCGTAACAGTTAGAATAACAGGCCATTCTCGAGTTCAAAAAACTCTCACTTTTAAAACGAAGCTTAGTGCAATACCTTACTTGTGAAAATGAGTTTAATTTGAATGAGGTCAAAATTCATTTTCATATCAAAGGCCTCGCATTTGGCCTCGCTTTAAAACAGAGGCTTAAGGCAGCTCGCAAATGGCAGACTGAAATGTATGTCTTAACCTTGTATCAAAGGCATCGATTTCCTTGCTCAATGATAAACGCTACGGGTCTTCAGTAAAAGGCAAAATCAAAGGCAAAAGCTTTTCACGCCTACCGTTCAGTTTTGCTTGATTTCTAGAAATGGACTGTTTGCTAATTAATTCCTCCAATTCTTCTTCTGTAATTCTCCCTTGCTTGCTGTCAACCACAAGGGACTTCAGCTGCTCCTCCGACGCTTCCTTTACAATAAAAATTGATTGAATGTTCGTATCTTCAAGAACAAGGTATGCCTTACATATGGCACAATACTGTTGTTATAAAATGACAACAACAACAACAACAACAACAACAACAACAACCTGTCATATATTTTCCAGACATATTATATTTAACAATTATTCCACGAGTGTGCGTTGGACATGAGTTGGCTATAATCATCTCATATCAAACAAGTGCGAGTGGAATAATTGTTTCGTTAAAAACGCCCACAAAATATCGTGAATTCTTCCACACTTTATTTGTAAAAACAACCGATTTTCAGCTTGGCTTAATTTTGAGCAGAAGCGTTCAGTTACCATATTTGGAGAGCATGGCATAATGGCTCAAAGTCCATCATGGCTAAGCCAATCAGAGCTCTAGAATTGCATTATCCAATGATTAAGTTTTTAATAAAAACAGTTACAGGGCTCGAACTTAATTTTTGAACTTAATAGTCAAATGGCTAGTACATGCTCGGGCTTTACTAGCCATAAACGTGTTTCTACTAGCCTAGGCACTTCTGTCCAGCATAAAATTTAAAAAAATGTCAAAAATCCTGTTTTTATCAAACGTTAATAAAAACTGCAACATAAGAAGAATTTAACTGCATCTTGTCTTGCATGTTTAGTTACAATACAACAATAAATTTTACTGAACTCGTAACATCGTATGTGAGCCATGGAAAGTCTTTCAGCCAGATCCGTACAAATTTTCGTTTTGATGAAGATTCACATGTAGACGCGCTGCCTCCAGCAGAATCATCGCTTACTCTCTTTAGACCTTTAGTTGTTTTATTTGACAACACAAATGCCCTAATATCCATGACAATCGCGCGTGGACTGTGATCGTACATTTGCATTTCAAGATGGCGGACATTTGTGTTTTGGCTAGCTTTGTATCATGGGTACGGCTTGGCCCATGCTCCCTGGTCATACATAATTTCAAGATGGCAGCGAATAAATGCGAAACTGAAAACTGAATTAACAAATATTATTCTTATGTAGAATTACTTTTCTTTCTTTTATTCATGCCAGTTGTTAATGGGGGAATGAAATAAGAGGTTACTAGAAGGTGCGGATCAACTGTGAAAATGTTGAAAACATTTCAAGGCTTATATTGTTTACAGGGGCGAAAATTAACTAGCCAAGATGGCTAGTAAATGAGCTAAATCCACTAGCCAAAAATCAAAATATACTGGTATTTGGCTGGTAGACCACCGCCAAGTTCGAGCCCTGCCAGTTAACTTTTTGCAATTGAACGCCGACAGCTCTCTATTAATGAAAATTTCTCTGTAAGATGCACTCTTCACTTAAAAACCCTTCCTCTACAAAACAACTGTTGAAGGAAGATCAATGAATTCCTCTACAAAACAACTGTTGAAGGAAGATCAATGAATTCCTCTAGAATGTAAGGTAAACACTCAGACACTCCTCTAAAAATCTTAGAAGGTGAGCGTGATTTAAACTCTAACGTTTGAGGTGACGTGACGCAATGCTCTATCCAAATGAAAAAAGTCACGCTAACTGGTCAAGCAGATCAATTGTAAGCTCGAAATATAGCCGGTGGTGGAGTTGAATATAAAATGGAGAATAAATCACATGTATGAGAGCTACTTTAGCGTTTCTTTTTCCTAAACTCCCTTAGCAGAGCGCGACAAAAGTGCTGTCGGATAACCCTAAGCTATGGAGTGACTTGTCGTACTGGCATATTTAAATTATAAGTTGTCCGTAAGTGAAAATCAGGTTTGGTAGGCCTGAATGACTTCCCTAGGCTGGTAAACTTCAACAACAGCTTGCCTGAAGGATCAATCTCACAATGTTTTAGTCCCGTGACTTTTTACCTTTAAGAACATGTCTGCACTGAAACGGCTGGAAGTTCTGAGTTTCTCAAACGCCTCCCTGACTTTAGGCTGCAATGCCCATATTTGTCCAAGCACCTTTCTCTTTTGGTTGTAAAGTCCTGGTTTGCGATTCACATCTTGCTGTACCCTCTTGAGTACGACGTGAAAAGAAGAAAGTAAGAGTTAAAGAATGCTACCCTGTTTTGTGTGTCAAGCCTTTCTAGCAGTCCAAGGTCGTATTCTGTCGATCTCTTTTTACAGAATGTAACTAAGCAGTCATAATTCTAATCTCACTTTGTTTATCGCGCAAGAACGCTTTCAATCATTCTAAGTCTCGTAAAACCTATCTGTGCCTAAAAATCAACAACATGCAGAGTTTAACACCTTAGAAGTGTCTGGTATACCCAGGTTTTCTCTTATCCGTTTTTCATCTTAACGGAAACCTTGACTTCTTTTACATTTTGAATAAGATCTACAGTCAACTCTTATTATAGCGGACACTGTAGGGACCTCGAGTTTATGTCCTCATTAGCGAGAGTCCCTAATAGCGGGAGTTTATTTCAGTCAA